CCCCGCCCCCACGGGCCCCGCCCCCAGCCCAGGCCCCACCTCCGCCCGCCTTGCGCCGCGCCGGGACCACCCCCTCCGCGCCCCCAGCCCTCCACCCAGCCGGAGCTGCGCGTGCTAGGTCGGCTGGCCCTCGCTCTGCCAGAGGTCGTCGGGTTCTGGGGTTATGGGGGCAGGGAACCGGCGTAAAGTCGCCCTGTCAGGAGCCAGGGTCTCCGTGTGGCCGAGCCAACCCCAACCCTTTTGCTGTGATTCCTGCCGGGTCGAGGCGTCTCCTGGAGCCCGGGGTGGGGCAGGGTGGGGGTCCCGCGTGGAAGCGCGGATTGGCCCCGCGGTGACTGAAGCCAGGCCCGGGCGAACATTGTGGCTGGGCCCTTCGCCGCGAGGACAATTGGAGCTTCGAGAAAGCGCAGATGTCGCAACGGAGGAAGTCTGTCTGGTTCTCATAAATCTGGAGGGCGAGCACCACGCCCCCTCCCTCCGGCCCTTCAAGCGCGGGAAATAGCCCTCGGACTTCAGGGTGGGAGCCTCCCCAGCGCAGTCCCCACACAATTTCTGTGTGGTGAGGACACTGGCGCCTCTGGGAGAGGTGTTGGAGGTCGTATGCGCTCATGGGGGACCACACCCCTGGTTCCTCACCCCGTCTGGCTTCATATATCAGCCACTGTTGAGGCAGAGAGAAGCCAGACTAAGGAATAAGCCCTGCAGGGCTTTGCAGGCGTTTGTGGTCTGAATGGGGACTGGGGGGCGCTTCACCAGGCTCTGAAAAGGTGCAGGGAGCGAATGGGTACAGGTGAGAGCCCTCCCTGGGCACCTTTTCCTCTCCTGTCCCTCCTTGCCCCCTGCTCTAGACTTTTAGCCCCAGGGGCCTCTCTGGCAGAGGCTCAGTGATTTGCTGTAGGCTCCCTCCTGGAAGTGTCTCCTTCTGATGCCTTTCCTGACTTGACCTCTGACCTTTTCCAGTGCTTTTTACCTCTTCCAGAGCCATCTCATCTCTGACTTTCCAGGGGGCAGGGGATGGGAGCGTGTTAGCTCTTTAGGGATGGAAAAGGGTAGCTCCTGGAGGGGAGTTGTGGGCTGGTGAAATGGACCCCTCACCTGCTGCTCACTACCACCTCTAGCACTGCCCTGCAAGGAGGCACTGAAGCCAGCTAGTTCTTGGCTGAGGCCCTGGTGCCAGCTGCCCCCTTGAAGCAGCTGGCCAGCAAACACTTAATGAAAACTTAGGCGATGGTCCAGCCATCGATCCCAGCAGCACACAGGCTGGATGCCCTCCTGGGAAGCAGGACAGCTATGAATGAGGCTGGGCAGGGAGGGGTGTGGTGGTGGGGGGCTGACTGCCAGCAGAGAGAGGAAGAGCAAGAGCAAGAGAGAGGCCTTTACTCTGCCTAGGGCAGCCTGGCTGTGGACCGCAACCCTCCTGGGAGGGGGGCAGCCCGCACAGCAGTGGACAGACCTGCTTCCAAGATGTGCCCCGAGCATACTGGTGGGCTGTTTGTGACCAGAGGGGGTTGTGGGATGGGGAAGCCTGGCAAGACAATAGCTCTGATTCCCAGGGAGGAGGAAGTGAGGAGGGGCTCTCTGCCCAGTGACTCTGGCCCGTAAGGAGGAACTGATGAAAGATGTGGAAAGGGAGTGGCAAGGGCTGTGGTTGGCCAAGAGTGTCTGTGGGGGTGGGGGCTCCCCCACAGGAATTGAGCTCAGGGAGGACAAGTCTAACCTGGGTCCCTGAGTGCAGGAGGTTCTGGGCTCTTGGAGGAAGTTCTTAAGAGGCAGATGATAAGGGATGCTTTGGGTGGGACCCCAAAGAGGGGCCCCTGGATGGCCCAGCTCCACAGTTCAGGATGAAACCCGAGACAGATGGTGCAGAGGGCTCTGGCCTGCTGCACTACAGGGCCAAGCGGGGTTTGTGGCCAGCCTCCTGGGTAACTGGCACAGGGGATGATAATGCTAGCCACTGTCCAAAAGAATGGACTGGGCTGGGGCTGAGGTAGCCCAGAATTGGTGGCCCCACAGAGTCTCTAAGCAAGGCTGGCACCAGGGCTTTGGTGGGCATGCATTTGGCAAAGGGAAAGGAGCAGGACACAGACATAGCTTTGGGGGGCACAGAAAGGGAAGCAGGGATTTTCCCAAGCACTGATGTGGAGCTGCCAAGACATGTCACATTCCCAGCCACAGCCAGTCAGATGACGTGAAGAGAGGAGCAGATTTCCCTTTCTGATGGAGCTGCATGTCTGCTCAAGAGAGCCAGGGTGGGCTTGGCTTTTAGCCACGCTCTGGACCCACTCACAGAAATCATGGGGACAGGAAGATGGGAGAGAGGTCCTATGTGCCATGGCCATGCCCCAAGTCACTGGGCCAACCCAGTTCCCAGGCCTCCAGAACCCCAGTGTCCCAGAGCTCAGGAGTCGTAGAGCATGGGACACCAGTATGGCTGCAACTGTGGTTTATTTATTCTTCATGTGCAAAGCTAAATGTGCAAGTGCAAACCTAACTTAGGAAGACCTTCCCTGGCCTGAAGAGGCAGCCACCCCAGGATGGCCCACACCTACTTTTGGGCCTGAGATGCTTCGTCATCTAGAAACCAGAAGACCTTGCTAAAGAAGAAAGCAGAAATGATGTGACAGGGACAGGGAGGGGTGGTAGCAACTCCCATCCTGGGGCTTCCCCTGCAGTGGTGGTCAGCAGTCTAGGTCTTGCCTAAACCATGCTCTCAGGGTGAGTTTGGTGACCATAGCAGGTGGAAGGGGCTCAGCACAAAGCCCACCCGCCTGGAAGGGGTGCTCTCACTTTTGGGGTTAGGGGTGCCAAGAGCCGTGTTGCTGCCACAATCACTGGTGACTGATACTGTCACAGCCAAGGCTCACTGCCACCAGGGCTAGAGGTCTGGCTGTGGGTAGAGACCTGGCTATGTCTCCAGCCTAACACTGGGGTGATAGTTTGGCCTGACTGGGCCCTGGGGGCCATCTGGACCTGGGGTGCCTGATGTGGTGACACTCTTCCAAGGACCTCTGGCAGCTGTTGGGCTGAGGACAAGGACAGTTTCCATGTGGGGAGGGGTTCTGGGAAAGCCTAAGTCATTAAAAGTAATTGCTCAAGCAGGGGTGGGGAATGCAGCCATAACTGTGGTGGGGAGGCCTCCAGGGTCACTGCCACAAGTCGCCAGCTGCTGCACCGTTGTCATTCTCATGGAACTTGTGCAGGTGATCAGCAAACCTGGGGGCACAGAAACTTGCTGAGGCCGAGTATAAAGGGTGAACATGTGAGGGTGTGGGGGAGGGAGGATGGGTATATCCCACAACAGGTGGGGCTAGGGTGTGCCAGCATGAAGGTGGAGGAGCAGGGAGCCTACTGGGGAGCTTGGTAATGTTGCAGAGGTCTTGGGGGTGTTGGCTTGGGGTTGTAGAGCTGAGGTTCTTACTTCTTGGCGCAGGTGGCAGCACAGTCCCTCTCCACGCTCTCGCTCCAGGCCAACTTGTAGAGCACCTGGTTCAGCAGGGACCCTGTGAGTTGGCTGCACATGACCTGTGCTGCCAACCCCCCCAGCATGGCAGACTCAGCTGCATCACTAGGCCTCTGCTTGGCCTCTGCCTGTGACTGATGCCCCTGGGGACAGTCCGTCTCCCCTGGCTGGCTCCTTGTGCTCAGGGCAGGTCAAAGCCCTTGCAAGGGAGAGCAGTAGCCCAGGGCTGAGAAAGGTTGCTGGGTAGTGTGGGAAAGCTGGGCGACACCCTTGGGTAGCCACTCACCAGGAACACCAAGCAGTGCAGAAAGAGTGTGTAGAAAAAGCTGATGGTGCGTGCCATCTTGTTGGAGAGAACCAGGCGGCCCTGGGAGCAAACAAAGGTGAGTGGGATTGGGCCTGGCCTACGAGGGGTGAGGGAAGGGAGGGAGCTGACATACTGCTAGGACAGGCAGGGCAGTTGGACTATAGGATGGAGGAGGAAGGGTGCCCCTGCAGCCCTATCACAGCACCTGCAGGGAATGACTAGACCAGAGCTCTTGGGAGAGGACCCTGTTTAGGTCACTCTTGGCAGGGCACGGGAAGGCACTGAGCGTTTCCTGGGGCTTCTCTAGAAGGGGCTGAAGGGCAGGTGACGAGGTCTCAGTGTCAGAAGCTCCAGTCTGTCCTGGGTGGGCACAGGGGCAGGGACTCACCATGCTGAGTGTGGCCTTGTCCCATGGGCTCAGACTCAGGTACTTCCTCTGCCGCTCCTGTGGGGATGGGGACAATGAAGAAAGGACCCCACAGGGCCCTGTGAAGAGAGGGGCACTGCTCATGTCTAGGCTGTTCTTCCTGCAGAGGCCAGGCCTCAGTGCCAACCAGTGTGACACTCAAGAGCTCCCCACCCCATCTGTTACCTGTCCCACGTGTGGGAAAGTTCACTGCTGGTCACCTGCCGCCGGGTGCCAAGACCCCTGTGCTTGTCTGCCGGTCCCCACAGCACACCCCAGGTCCACCTGTCCCCTGCTGTGCCCTCAGTGCCACAGATGATGGTATTCCTAGGCAGGCCCAGGGCCCCTATGGCACTGTGCATCTTTACAATGCCATCTGTCTACTCTGCCCATCTGCCCCCCACAGATGAACTGGAAGTGAGCAGGTGGGGTGCCAGGGACTGGGCCTCCCTAGGGTCCAGACAGCCTGTGTCCACTCCCTGCTGGGCTCACGAACCCGCTTGCTGAAGGAGGAGAAGGGGTCCAGGCGCTCTTCGTACTGGGATGAGTACCGCAGCTCTGTGTCGTCACTGCTGCTCCCCTGTGCAGGGGGAGGAGGAGAGAGGAGACTCAGTTGCTTGAGGTGCAGTGGGAAAGGTCAGTGTCCAAGAGAAGGAAGACAGAATCACATAGTTTCCTCATTGGCCATGCAAAGGTGGGGGAGGAGGCCAGGACAAGGCTGGTGGCTAGGGTTTTGGGCATGGTTTGGGGCCAGAGTTCTACCCCAGGGTCAAGGTCACCTCACCTCTGGGCCCATCCGGAGAACTAAGGCACAGATGGACTGGAAGGGACAAGACAGCTGACATGGGACCTGAACTGGTTTTTGTTTTTGAGTTGGGATCTCATTATGTTGCCCAAGCTGACTCCTGGACACAAATGATTTTGCTGCCTTAGCTTCCTATGTAGCTGGGATTACAGGGGGCAGGCAGGCACCTGGGAGAGACCTTCACCCAAGTTAACAAGAACAGCCAGGATGGTGGCACATGCCTGTGATCCTGGCATTTGGGAGAATGAGGCAGGTGGATTTCCACAAGTTCGAGGCCAGCCTGGCTACATAGTGAGACTCTAATTTAAAAAACCAATAAAATAAAAAAGCTAACATAAGCAGCATTAGTTTGCAGAGTCTGGGCGCCCTCTGGTGGCCAATAGTAATCCAGCTGCAATGGTGGGACTCGGCTGGGCTGCAGTCCCTGGCGGTCCTGGCCATGGATATCTTAGCTCCTTCTTTACTACCTATGCGGTCTCCCCTCAGTCACAGAACAGTTTCCATACATATGCTGGTCCCTTGGAAGGCTGGTGGCTGAGAGGCCAGGGGCAGTGTGGGGACGGGGTCCCAGATCCTGGTGTGCCCTACTGGATCACCTCCACTTCACTGGGCAGCTCTTGGCTGACTCTGGTGAACAGATCCCTATGGGGCTGCACTATGTGGAGTGGAGGCAGAAATTGGGGTCCCTAGGCTCAGCGCTGGCGTCTGATCCCATGCTCTCTGGGGTGCTGCCAGCCCCTCCCACCTGTGCCCCACAGGGGAATGTGGGTGGGCACTCACCCGGCCAGGGTAGCTCTGCAGGAACTTGATCTTCTCAAAGAGCTTGATGTTGTCTGCTCGCAGGCTGTCCAGCTCACCCTGCAGGGCCTGGATGGTGTGCTGGGCCAGGCGGCTCTCCTGTGGGCCAGTGGGTGCGTATATGGGCAGTGGGCAGGGCTGGGTACTTCCAGCCTCTCCCAGGTCCTAGCCTGAGCTTGAACCTTCCAGACTCTGGGAAGTGTCCCTTGCCCTCCCAGGATCCTGCCCCAAGCAGCCCTCCCATGGGGTTTCTTCATTGTTTGATTTTGATATTATTAACCAGCTAACAATTACTATTTTGTACATATTAGGCAAAGATATGTACAAAAGCTAGATCTTTAGATCTAGCTCTCCTAAAAATTATTGAGACACCATTCACAGAACACAAGCATCACCATCCTTAAGTGTGCAGTTCAGTTATCTTTACTATTGTCACAATTTTTTTTTTTCTTTCCTGGTACTGGGGATTGAACCCAAAGTTTTATGCATGCTAGACAATTACTCTACTATTGAGCTACACACCTAGTCTTTTTTTTTTTTTTTTTTTTTGCAGAACCGGGGATTGAACTCAGGCCCTTGCGCTTGCCAGGGAAGCACTTATTCCACTGAGCCATCTTCCCGGCTCCACACCTAGTCATTTTTAATCAATTACTTTTTTGCTATTGGGGATTGAGTCCAGGGTCTTCACATTGAGCTATGGGCCTAGCACTCCTTCCCACCTTTTATATTTTGAAACAGGGTCTCTCTGAGTTCATGACTTGCTCAGGCTGACTTTGAATTTGTCCTCCTCCTGCCTCAGCCTCCCGGGTAGCTGAGATTACATGAGTGTGCTACCATGTCTGGCTGGTGTATTCACAGTCATGCCCACCATTCATTCCAAGGCATCATCCCCGTAAGAAGCCCCAAACCTGTCAGTGTTTCCTCCTCCCCCTTTCCTAGAAGCCATACTTTTGCCTGTTCAGGATATTTCATATGAATGGGATCAGACAATACCTGGTTTTAGGGTTTGCCAGTGTTAAGGAAGGGGAAACAGGATCTCACTTTCCATTCATTCAGATGTTTGAATGAACGTTTCCTTAAAACTATTCAACATTCAAGTAGTACAAAAGAAGTACATGGTAGTATAGCAGTTCCTTGAAGAATTAAACAAAGAATTACCATATGATCCAGCAATTCCATTTCTGGGAATATATCCAAAATAACAGAAAAACAAGGTCTTGAAGGAACATTTGTACACCTGTGTTCAAAGCAGCATTATTCACAATCGTTTAAACCTGGAAGCTACCCCGGGCCTGATATGTAAATGGATAAACCAATGCGGTGGGTAGCTGGGCATGCTTGTGCCCACCCAGAATCTCAGCACTCTGGGAGGCTGAGGCAGGAAGATCACAAGTCAGCCCAGTCTGGGAAACTAGTCAATTTAGCCCTGCTTTAAAACAGGGCTGGGACTGTAGCTTAGTGGGAAGGCCCTGGGTTCAATCCTCGGTACTGAAAGAAATAGTGATGCTGGCCTAGAATGCACTGTTATTCAGCCTCTGAAAGGAAGGATCTCTGTCAGAGGTCACCATTGCAAGTTGGATGAGCCAGAGGACAGGGTGCCAGTGAAATGAGCCTGTCCCCACAGGACACTTCCTGCATGGCTCTATCATCTGCGTTCCCAGCAGTTGGGGGCACAGACAGGAAGTAGAACAGTGGTTGCCGTGGGCTAGGGACAAGGGACAAGGGTCCCTGTTCATGGGAGAGCTTCAGGTGTGCCCTGAGGTGAAGGCTGAGGGGCGAGGGGTGGCGTCGGATGGACAATGTGCACGGTCCGTCCCTGTATCCAAAGGTGGCCAGGACAGCACATTTTGGCTTCTGTTAGTCTGTTTTACCAGTGTTTACAAAGGACGTGGACAAAGGCTATGTTTTGAAAGCAAAAGCTGGGGTCCTACAAATACTTTTTTCTCCTCTGACAGATTTTCTAATATGGGCTGTGCCACAACGTGGTGTCCCCAGTCCCCAACTGCCAGGGGGCTGTTTCCAGTCCACAGCCTAGGTACACAGGCAGCTGCAACAGGGAGCCCCATGGTCCCCCCACAGAGCTGCTTGCTCCAGAGCTTGGGTCCCACACAGGGGGCATGGCACAGGCCTGGCCTGTGATCTGCCTGGTTCTTCTCCCACTGAGAGTTGGTGAGTGGCGGCGTCCCTGGGCAGGCGGGGTCTGCTGAGCCCCCAAGGCCAGCCTGCCGCCACTTCTAGGTGCTTCTCTGGTCTCATTTGGGTGCTGGGCACCGCTGTGCTGTGTCCGCCATGCCTCAGGAATAGCCTGGCCCTGCCTTGAACCCCTCATGCTCCTCTTCATCTGTGCCCTCTGGGCCCATCTGCTTTGGGGTCTGGATCTCTGCCATGCTGAGGCTGCTGCCCAGGCGGCACCATGCCCTGGCTGGGCACCATGCAGCTCTGGGCTGGGTCCTCAGCAGCATCACACTCTTGGGGCTCCTCGCTTTCCCCACCCCAAGCAGCTCCTGGCCGTCCCTGCGTGGTTCACCTACCCCCTGAGCAGCCTTCTGTCCTGCACTGGATACCTGAGTGACCCATCTTACCCTCTATTCCCCTGCATCAAGGCTTTGTGGGTGTCCTAGCCTGGGAGGAGAAAGCCTACCTGCAACTCTTGTCTTGTGTCTTGTACCTTCTCCCTGTAACCTGGGACCAGCCCCGTGTCCCTGAGTGCTTGCTTCTTTCAAGTCCCAGCATGGCACGGCCTCTTCCAGGAAGCCTTCCCTAACTACACAGTATAATTCTAACTTCGTTGTAGTTTAGGGGCTGTGAAAGTTTTATCCCCTGAGCCTGTGTCTTTCCCTTCTGTGGCTTTGGGACTGAGCATATAGTGGACAGAGGAACAGAGGAAAGTTACTCACAGCCTCCAGCTCCTGGTTCCGGGCCCGGAAGCGCTCCCGCTGGCTGGAGATGATAGAGAGCAGGGAATCGACCTGGCCCTCAGGGAGGGAGCCACTGGCTGGTGTCACTGGTCCTAAGAGGTATCAAAGAGTAGCTTGAGGACAGGGAAGGCAGAGCCCAGAGGAGAGCACTGGGCAGTGTGGCCTAATACTGAGGGATTCTGGGCCCAGACTGTGGGGCAGACACTATCTTCCTGGGGCTGAGCAGGTTGGCAAAATAGAAGGGACAAGCAGAGGTATGGAGGCTGAGAGCTGAGAACCAGGCCTGGGAACCCCAGAGTTCCCCTCCCCCTTTCTCTGTGCTTAGATGCAAGGCCCCTGAACCCACCATCTTGGGCCCAGCCCTCTGTGAAACAAAGGTGCTGTGAAGGATCTGGGGAGGCTCCCCCTCATGCCCTGGCCCAGTGGCCTCAGGTTCCAGCCTTAGTACCCAGAACCACCTCTCCTCCAATGTCACACAGCTCTTGCTTGTTTCAGACCCAAGGCCACTGACAGGATTAGGTGTGGGTGGGTGGCCCCCTGCTCTGTGGGGGTGGGGCCCTGTCCTTCTTTGAGGGAGGGGCATGCTCTCTGATTCAGGTGTCCTGATTCCCCACTCCTTGCTTACCATAGAACAAGGCTGTGGCCTCTTTGATGGGCTCCGGGATCTTCTCAGCAGCGCCCTGCAGGGGAGAGGAGAAGGGGTGATGCCACCACACAGCACACAGTGGGCACTGAGTCACCTTTCAGGGTGGGCAGGGAGCAGGTGGTAAGCCTGGCTGCAGGGGGCACCTGCATCAGGGCCACCAAAGGAGAGAAGCCTAGGCCTGTGCGAGCCTAGGGGCGATACCCGCAGCACCTGTCAGCGGCTGGGCCTCCTGGGTCTTGGGGCCTTGCCCTTGTGGTCCAGGGTATGATCCTGGCTGTGTGTGCTTCTGTCCAAAGCCCCAGGGCAGGGGACACATCTGTGTCTGCCAGTTGGAGGGAGCCCTGGGGTCTGGTGTCCCCAGCTGGGTAAGGGGTGAGCAGGGAAAGTGTCAAGTGTGGGGGACAGCCCCTGGGGTCAGGAAGGGGCTGCTGCCCTTGCTGCCTCGGAAGTGGCGGCTGATTTGGGAAGCTTCAAGGAAGCTGGGTGGCCGTGGTGGTAGTGGTAGGGAGATGGCAGGGCTCACCTCAGCGTCTGGCCGCTGGATGGACTGGATGGTGCTGAGGTCTTGCTCCAGCCGAGCGATCAGCTCCCTCTGCTCTGTGGTTGTGGCTATGGCCTCGGTGACATGGACCTGCAGCTCTGCACAGCGCCCTGTGGCCAGAGGGAGAGGTGGCATCAGAGGAGCCTGGGAAGACCCTTGGCACACTCCAGCCCTCCCCCAAGTAGGGGTGCCATTGTTAAAAAGCCTAAAAGGCCATTGTTAGGCCTGTGCAGTGGGGTCTCCAAAAGTCCCCTAGATTTCAGGTGAGGAAAGAGAAAACAGGAGTACCCTGGCTCTGCCAAGACTGGGCGACTCTGAAGACCCCTTCTTTCTCTGGGCTCCATTTTGTCTTGGTAAGCAAGGCAAGGAGCCCCATTTCTTCCAGTGAGCCTCAAGTTTCTTCCAGGGCTGATGCTCTGAGATAATCAACAGGAATATCTGGGGGTAGAAGGGGATGAGGAACGGGGGGAACAGCAGTTGGGGTATAGAGGGAGAGAATCCCCACCTATAAAAGGCACCAGATGCAAAGGAGGAAAGGATGGCCCCTGGTGTCCCCTGACCCACAGCTCGGTCCCTCTCCCATCCCAGAGCCAGGGGCTGTCTTAGCAACCAGGCAGATCCGGACTGTCTGGACTTTGTTGTCCTGCAGCAGGGTGGGCATGGAGGGAAGCTAGTTAAGGCTGGGCCCTTGGCACCGCCTGTGGCCACAGGCACTCAGCTGCCTGGCAGCCAAAGGGCCCAAGAGCGGGGTTTGGCTCCACTCCACTGGCTGTGACTCTGGGCAGCTAGGCCACCCTCTCTGATTTTTTGTAAAATGGTGACAACTACCTTTGGTTAGGGAGAGCTGTCAGGGTCACTGAGACCCATGAAGGGCTTCATGCCCACCAGGGGGCACTGTGGTCTCAGAAATGCTCAAAGGCTCCAGGCTGTGAGAGCTGCCAGGAACTGGCTTAGTTCCTGTCCCCTCCTGGACAGTGTGCAGACCTGCTGTCAGATGGCAGACTGCCTGGCCTGGGGACAGCTCAGCTTCACCCCACTGCTCCATCGCCTGGTGGCCACTCTAAGCCAAGCATTTCCCTCCCACATCTCCTAACAGTGGAATCAGTGGGAAGAGATGGTCCCTGTGTTACCCGCGAAGAGCTGGGGTGTCCCCATGTGGGGCCAGACCCAAGAGTAGCCTCTGCCCCCAGCCTTTACACAGAGACTCGCACTTCCTAGGCCCCACGTGGGCCTCATTTTCTTGTGTGGGGTCAGATTGGGCCATGGAAGGAGAGCTGTTGGGGGCAGGGTTAGGTCTGAGCTTGGTGAGTTGCAAAGCTCTAGTAGCTCCTGATGGGAACAAAGCACAATGCATGACCCTCAGGCCTGGCTGCCTCGCTGTCCTGGGCATGCTCAGGAGGGCAGGTGGACAGGAGTCATGGTGAGAGGTGGGGAGAGAGGACAAGCAGGAAGCTAGCAGGACACTGAGTAATGGTAACAGTAAAGGGCTTGGGCTGAGGAAGGGGGCTGGGCAGCTCCTGGCACTGGCTGTCTGCAGGAGCAGGTGAAAGCAGGGGTGATCCTGTAGGTGGTAGACAGAGCCCTGGATGAGACACTGATGAAGAGGACAGGGGGACAGCGTTT